ATTCTCAATTTACACACTGAAAGATAAAAAAACTCGCATTGTACCCTGAAAGAAATAAAACGATAGCAATTAGGTCCAAAACCTAATCGCCCTTTAGTTTGCTGTCTATTTTTGCTTACGTGCAAAACACGTGATAACTCAGAAGGGTAAATTTGTAAATGAACAAGGTAATCTCACATGTGATTTGCACATGACAACATCTCGGTTCAAGAAACCGATCATCTACAGCCATTGCCTTCACATCTTTAGAGTACTGAGAGAGAAAGAAAGATGAAGAGGTAGCATGATTCTCGTCTAGGGCTTCATAGTCAAAGAAAGAGCCTGTGTATAGTCTCTACGAACAATTTACGGACTTGGGGGGTTGATTCTGTACCAGTTTAGGTTTCTTGGACCAAAATTGTCGTGGTCGCTGAGGGAGGGGACCAACGATTTATTGACTCATTGGGATGCACCATGCTATGGTAATCGTAATTTTTGTGTTTGTTTTTCTATTGTGTTTGGAATATGAGATTCATTCTGGTGGGTTTGTGTGTTTGTAAACTGTTGTCTATTTCGTCATTCTGGTATGTTTGTGGGTATTGTTGTGACCAATTTTTGTATGTGGGTTTGTATGTTTGTTATTTTATTACTATTTTTCTATTGTATTTGTATTGTGGGGTTCATTGTTTGGATGTTTGTGAGTCTATTGTGGGGACCAACATTTGTCTGCATTCAGGTTTGTGTGTGTTGTTATTTTGTTACTTTTTTCCTGAACAATCGTGTTTGCATTGTGGGGGTATATCATATTAATAGTGTGTAGCTTGTTGACCATTTGGTGGTACATGTAGATCATTCCTCTGAATATTTTACTATTAGATTGCATCATGGGGGTGGATTGGAACATTTGGGTGATAGAGCATATACTGGTGGGAAGATCAATTACATTGATATGTGTCATGTTGATGAGATTTCATTGATTGAGTTGGATAGTATGTTAAAGGATACGAGATTGTATGTTGATGACATATCATTAGGATTCTATGAGATTAATAAATTATATCATAGATCCTGGCATGGATGGAGGGTTAGAAAAATGATGTGCAGGTCTTGGACATGATCAATTGGGTTCAAGAGGATAGAGTCATTGATATTTATGTTGACCATATTGAACAAATTCAGGTTGAGTCAAACTTGTTGTTAAGACTGACCATGTTCATGAACAACATCCAGAATCAGGTGGTGATGGGGATATGAATGATAGTGACTCATCAGACTATGAACCTTTTTATGATAGTGAGTATGACATAATTGATGATCAATTATGTAGAGATTTGAAAAGTGAGGATAAATTTTTCAGTTTTGCCCGTAGAGCACTATTCATGCATTATTTGTCGGTAGGACACTATATATATATCATTTAGGCATAAGTCATGTTTAGGAGCATAATTTGAGTATGTCATAGAAGAGAAACATGCTTAAAATATTAAAATACATATATTGTGCAAATTTGAGCATAAACAAAAATAGTTTCAAAAATTAGACAAAAATGATATCTCGGGTGGCCTAGGTGGGACCGGCCAAACCCGACCACTAGCAAAAAATCTATATTTTTGAAAATTTTTATTTAAAATAATTTTAAGAACTTTGGTTAAAATAAAATATCGAATTGAGGCATTTCGGGACGAGTTGTAGTGTAACGGGGTCCCAGATTCATCAAGGGCAAAAGAGTTATTTGCACCTTTGTCTCTCTACTATAAATACAGCCCCCTTAGTGTAAAAATATCATTTTTTGGGCTGGGAAAGGTCAGTACACATTTTTGGAGGAAAAAAAGAAGAAAAATCCTAGGTTCTTCAAGCTCAAGCCACCAAAACTCATTCCTAGGCCAAGATTCTTGCAAGACTTTCTTCTAACAAGTTGTTCCTCTCAACAAGGGCTATATTCTCACCTATCAGTTTGGCTATAAAGTGAACACAACTCTCTTGGTTTGAGAAAAACTATTTTAGGTATGATATTTTACTAAGTTAGAAATATATTTAAGTTTTCTTATCTTCCTTTGTGTTGATTGGATGATTTAGGTGTTTAATTGATATTAAAAAATCATTTAGTTGATAGTTTCTTTGAAAATTTAGAATTTGTGGTTTAAGTACTTTTATGTTTTTTTGAGTTTCTTGACAATTTGTTGCTATGGTAAAGGTGTATATTGCTTATGCGTTAGATTATTATATTCTAGTTTATGTTCATGTAGAGAAACTCTTGTGGTTTGAGAGTTATGATTTATTACATGAGTTGGTAGTTTGTGTATTTGCAGTTTCTTTGAGAATTTGTGAAAGTAATGAATATGAAGTTTGATTATATGTTTAATCCATTGAATGGTATTTCACATTCACGTAGATAAGGTGTTTGATGAAATATTTTATATAATTCACATTGATAAAAATCAAGGCATCTTGGCATACAAGAATTCTTGGAACATAGTGTGGGTTGAGTACTTGATACTATGCATTATGAGGGTGTAGATCCTGTGGTAAAACACTCAAAATCTAGCAAATGACAGTACTCACGGCCTGACGGGGGCCCGTGAAGTGAGACATGAGTGGCATAGAGTTGCATGGGTATGTCATGCATATTGATATTGCATAACATTGAGGGATCACGGGGTTATAGCTTTTAAAAATGTACACTTGCACATGTCACGTTTAAAATTTGTTTATAGCATTAGCACTTTGTCTTACCAGCAGTTGAGCTGATCCATTCGTGAGATATCATATTACAGATGAGACTCTCGATACTTGAAACTTTTGGAAGTTTTAAAGGAATGAGGGAAAAGGGACTTGAATGGATATTTGGCCTTTGGGCATATTTTGTATGTATGGACATAAGTCCAAATAACTTGTATTTCAATTTAGAAAAGTAATGAATTATAGACTTTGAGTCATTTTAAAGTGTAAGGGTGTAAACCCAATTGATATGTAGGATAATTTTATGTAATGAGTATCATATGGGTATATTGGACAATTATATGTGTATCTTGAGAACAAGGGATATATGTTTAATTTACATGGATTGTGGCCACCGAGTGAGGGTGGGTTGTGATATAATAATGTATATGACATATTGTGAATATTAGGTGAGAAAAAAGTTTGAAAACAAAGGAGATTATGTCAAAATTTTATGAAAAATTAAAAGACTTGTTAAGTATGTAAAACACCTTTTAAATAGGTGGGAATGACGTTAAAAGGGANATTAAAAAGGAGGGGGTTTAGAAACCTTGAAGAAATAGGTTAAAAATGGAAAAAAAAGTTGTTTGAAANGTTAAAAGGGAGGGGGGTTTAGAAACCTTGAAGAAATAGGTTAAAAATGGAAAAAAAAGTTGTTTGAAAAACTTTGAAAAAATAAGGGAAATGAATGAGAAACCAATTTATCCAACCTAATGACATTTCATTTATTTTTTTCTCCCTTTTCACTCACTCCCCGGGTTTATGGAAATTCGGGGCGTGACAACTTATATGAGACATTTGTTGATAAGAATGTTGGAAAGGGGTTGACAAAGGGAAAGTTGTTGATAGTGACAGATACACATCAGAGGAGGTTGATAATGATTTGTATGCTGAAGACTATGATAGTGAAGAGTTATTAAGTCTTAGTGGTTCATCATCGGATGACAAGGAAGAAGGACATTGTAAGAGAAAGAGGGTGAAGTATCCACAGTTTAATTCGAAGTTTGATATGGTTGACCCATATTTTGAGCTAGGTATGTTGTTCAAGACAACTACTGAATTTAGAGCTGCGATTAGGCAACATGTAATAAAATAGGGAAAAGAAATAAGATTCACTAAAAATGAGAAGTCTAGAGTAAGGACAGTTTGTACGGAAGGGTGTGATTGGTTAATTTATGCTTCTAGCATGGCAGGAGAGAATACAATGCATGTTGTTATGGCAAAGACAAAGACCAGTTCATGTTGTTATGAGAATACTGTGAAGAGTTAAGGAGAACCAATCCAGGTACTACCTGTATTATCAAAACAAATTGGTCTAGATCCCATTTTAGTACATTGCCTAAATGTGACATGCTACTCAATAATTTGTGTGAGAGCTTCAATGATTGTATTGTAGAGGCTAGGGACAAACCTATCTTAACAATACTTGAAAATATTAGAGTTTGGCTTATGGAAGAATACATAGACAAAGAGATTCAATTAAGAAGTATAAAGGATCCATTTGTCCAAGGATTCAAACGAGATTAGAAGACATTAAAATGGAGTCAACAACCTTCATTCCTACATGGAATGGGAATGACAAGTTTGAAGTGTTGGGATGAGTGGAGACCAAGCAATAGTCAACATAAAAGATAGGACTTGTAGTTGTAAGAAATGAGACTTAACAGGAATCCTCTGTAAACATGGTGTGTCTGCCCTCAACTACTTAGGTTTGTCAGTAGAGGATCATGTGGCTGATCGGTACAAGGTTGAAACATTCCTCAAGTGTTACAGTCAACTGATGAGTCCTATTAATGGGAAGGAAATGTGGCCCAAAATAGGTTATGCCACTCTCATTCCCCCTAATCAAATCACAAGACCTGGTAGGCCCAAGAAGGCAAGAAAGAAAGAGAGAGAGAGTGATGAGCCTGTCAAAGGTGTGAAGTTGAGAAGGAAATACAAAGTAATCATATATGGAACTTGTGGTCAAACTGGTCACAACAAGAGGAAGTGCAAGGTGATCACAACATCCAATTGTGTAGAGACAGCCCCTATAGATCATGTAGAAATTTTACCAGTAAGTATTTTTTGAATCAGAATTTTTATCTGCAATTGGTTGATTTTTATTAACATTAACGTTTGTACATTTCATGGTCAGGTGGCAGCTATGGAAAATGCATCACAAAGTGGTACAAGGCCAAGCCTTGATGCTACTCAATATAAATCTACAAAGGGCAGACAAAAGTTTCCTATAAGAGACGAATCACCTTCTTTCAATTAATAGTAACAAAATTTAACTAATACTTATTTTTTTTCTTTAACAGATTAGAAGGAAAAGAAATACATCATGTCCCTTAACTAGCCAACCCCAAGCTACTCAACCACAGACTGCTTCATCACAACCTATCCTACCCAAGCAAACCAAGTTTGCACCAGTTCCTGCACAACACTCCAACTCATCCAAGAAAGTGAGGAAGACAAACAATGTAGTGAGGACATAATGAAACTCTAGGACCTTTTGTGATTTTTGGGATGTGCACTCAACAGTCACTTTTTGTATCTCACTTTTTGTACACAGTTAGTTTTTGTTATGGGGGTGTATCTAACTGCAATTATTTTTGCATGAATTTAATGCAAAATGGATATACTTTTTAGTCTAAGTGCTATGTTGTGTTTTTAAGAAAAGGGATGTATCTGAATACAACTGCAACTATGTTTGAACCAACACCATTCAAATACAATATCCAGTTTGCATTGCATAATACATAATCCACTAGTATAGTTGATGCAAAATAACTCCAACTTCATCACATGCTTCCAAAATATGCATTATCCAGCAGTAGATTTGAACAAAATAGCTTCAATTTGATCACTTTAGCTTCCAAAATAGATTTGAACCAATAGACATTCACAACACCTCCAACCTTGTTATGTTTTCATTTGAAACTTGTCCATCTGGAGTGTGTTTATAATCACCCATGTACCAATATAGAACCACCATGACAAACCAGGANGACATTCACAACACCTCCAACCTTGTTATGTTTTCATTTGAAACTTGTCCATATGGAGTGTGTTTATAATCACCCATGTACCAATATAGAACCACCATGACAAACCAGGAACCAACAAGGCAGAACCAAAGCATTCTACCCCTTGCTCTGCTTCTCTCCAACTGTTCTTCTAAACTTGTAACACAATGCAACAAACTGGGTATAATTTGGCGTGATCGGTTACACATCGGAGGGTTGATNGCTTCTCTCCAACTGTTCTTCTAAACTTGTAACACAATGCAACAAACTGGGTATAATTTGGCGTGATCGGTTACACATCGGAGGGTTGATCCATANTTGTGCTTCTCTCCAACTGTTCTTTTAAACTTGTAACACAACGCAACAAACTGGGTATAATTTGGCGTGATCGGTTACACATCGGAGGGTTGATCCATAGAAAGTAACCACATGGACCACCAACCTATGATTTTATAATTGATAAAAAATTAGAATATCACACAATACATAGAGAATCATACTACCATTTTAACTTTAGTTTGTTGTAAAAAAGAATTATTGTTCAATCTTATAAAAAAAAATAGAAATTTTAAATACAAAAATCACATAAAAAATCAACAAATCTTTCATTCATATGGACCTATACTTGATCGATTGATTACAAACCAAAAATCTAATGAACAAAAAGGGAAACAAAAGAATTTTTATGGAAAACTCATTCAACGAAATACCTCATTTTTTACGCAACTGATAAACCTTCTTCCAGGGTTTAAATCCGTCTTAGAGGTCTTCGCTACAGCTCTGCGGCCATAGTAACATAATGCTTGCATTTTCCCCTCTTCTTCCACCTCTAAATTTTTCTTTATTTTTCTTGCCCTAGGTCACAGATCTATATCAACGGTGAAACACTATGTTCTTAAATGTAGAAGACAACCACAAACCTCTACATTTGAGCACCAAAATGGTTCATTTACAGGTTTACCCTTTTGACTTATCACATGTTTTGCACGTGAGCAAAAAACAGACGACAAACTGAACAGCGGTTAGGTTTTAGACCTAATTGCTACCATTTTATTTCTTTCAGGGTGCAATGTGAGTTTTTTTATCTTTCAGGGTGTAAAGTGAAATTTGCCCATTAAAGAAAGATCAATCAAATCAAAGCGTTAGCATTTCAGCACCCACAACATAGACGGTGGACTTTTAATCAATGGAAGTTATCACAAGACTCATTCCTAGAGTTTAAAAAAAAAAAGAAATCTATTAATAGAGGAGATTTTTTATCAAGGCTTTATAAGGAGTTCTATAAATGGTATATTTTGTTAGAAGGGGAGATTTCAATCTTGAGTTTCGTATTCACAAATTATGGGTGTTGATTCAAACATGACATGATTAATGAATGTGTGGAGTTAACAATAGTACTTTTGATGCTATTAATTAAACAAATAAAAACTTAATAAGCTTAGTACAAGATACGAATGTAAAATAACACGAATTGAATATAACACTATATTATTTGATTAACATTCCTAATTTATTTACAAGAATGGACCCATACATTATGTGACAAATCATTTTGATTAGGATAAAACAAGACGAGCTTGAATGAGTCAAACTCAAGAATTTGCACATAAACGAGTCGAGCCTATCAAGTTTAATCCGAATCTATCGGGCTCATTTTCTAAACAACCCTAAAAAATTATTCAAGTTTGATTCATTTANTAGGGGAGATTTCAATCATGAGTTTCGTATTCACAAATTATGGGTGTTGATTCAAACATGACATGATTAATGAATGTGTGGAGTTAACAATAGTACTTCTGATGCTATTAATTAAACAAATAAAAACTTAATAAGCTTAGTACAAGATACGAATGTAAAATAACACGAATTGAATATAACACTATATTATTCGATTAACATTCCTAATTTATTTACAAGAATGGACCCATACATTATGTGACAAATCATTTTGATTAGGATAAAACAAGACGAGCCTGAACGAGTCAAACTCAAGAATTTGCACATAAACGAGTCGAGCCTATCAAGTTTAATCCGAATCTATCGGGCTCATTTTCTAAACAACCCTAAAAAATTATTCAAGTTTGACTCATTTAGAAAACAAGTCGAACTTGAACGAGCCGAACTTGAGCCAAGTTCGATTAACTCAATTTGATTAACAGCCTTGGGTGGCATACCAAAATAGCTAGAGGGATAGGAACTAGATGAAGGATTGGTTTGGGTACGTCCATTGGTACTTGAGCGTCGCGAATTCATTGAATGTTTTCTTTAGTGACTTCTTTTTTGCATTANCGATTAACATTCCTAATTTATTTACAAGAATGGACCCATACATTATGTGACAAATCAATTTGATTAGGATAAAACAAGACGAGCCTGAACGAGTCAAACTCAAGAATTTGCACATAAACGAGTCGAGCCTATCAAGTTTAATCCGAATCTATCGGGCTCATTTTCTAAACAACCCTAAAAAATTATTCAAGTTTGATTCATTTAGAAAACAAGTCGAATTTGAACGAGCCGAACTTGAGCCAAGTTCGATTAACTCAATTTGATTAACAGCCTTGGGTGGCATACCAAAATAGCCAGAGGGATAGGAACTAGATGAAGGATTGGTTTGGGTACGTCCATTGCTACTTGAGCGTCGCGAATTCATTGAATGTTTTCTTTAGTGACTTCTTTTTTGCATTAGTCTATGAGAAAGAATGGAGAATCACGCGAATCGAATGATGACGTCTCAATAGTTCTGTTCCAACAAGATCATTCAATGGGTTTGTTTTGGGCGCTGAAAACCTCAGTTTTTTTTTGGGTTTTAGAGAAAAAGAAATTTAGTTCGTTTGAATCCAGACTTATTGGAAGACTTTTATATCAATTTTTTGGGTAAAAACAGTTTTTATCAACACCAATGGAAGTTGAAAAATAGAACTTATCCAAGCGTTTCCAAGAAAAAAACTGATTTTTTCTAAAACATTCCAAACAACTTCAAAATTTTTTTTAGCTTCTAACTTTTTCATTTCACTTTTCAAACTTTTTCATTTCACTTTCAAACTTCTGTTTCATACTCAAAAAAATTAGCTCCAAACAGACCCAATACCTTATTGTTAAAAAAGTACTTTGGAAGTCGGTATACTAAATTAGACATAATTATAAACAAGTACACAGAAAAAAATGTGTTATAAAAAAGAATACTGTTGAGATACAAAGACTTAACTGCCAATTTTTTAAAATTTACTTTTCTAAAAATGATTTTAAGAATATATCTTAAAATTAATTAGATACACAGTGATAATGCTTAATCACTGGATTTAAGGAACATTCAATTGCAAAAAGTTTCATCTTCGAAAAAAGTTTGCCACTTCTTCTTCCTCTTCAAAAACTGTTCGAATNTGGATTTAAGGAACATTCAATTACAAAAAGTTTCATCTTCGAAAAAAGTTTGCCACTTCTTCTTCCTCTTCAAAAACTGTTCGAATGTCAGTAGTTGTAGACCAAAATCAATTGTTGAAAGTTGATCGTGGTCCTGCATGTAATACAGTGAGAGTTCATATTGTTAGATGTTGATTTTATATCACTAGTTTGTTTATCACCATGGATTTTGATTTGGGCTACTTTTATTTTATTTTAAGTTGCTTGTGCAATTCATGTTTTCTTGACTTCTTCACGGTGGTGATAAACGTAATAGATAAAATGGAGAAGGGAAAATGCAAGGTGGTACACTTTTGATTTTAGTCAAAAGTCCTAAAATTATATATTTTGTAAATCTAGATATTTATATCTAAATTCATTTTTTAGTTATTGGATTTCTGCCCTGAATAATTATTGATTTTCAATTGGTTGAAAATAGGTTTCAAATGAAATTAGACAATGTAGCTTCAAATTCAGTGGTTGTGTTTAGTGGTTTTGTACATGTGGTAACAAATTCAGACAGAGCTAGACTGTTTGAATAAAATTATATGAAAATATGTGTTTGACAAAATGTAACAGTACAATGTTTTGTGTAAGTGTATTGATACATTGTTATTGTTATAGTGTTATAGTTACACTATACCTCTGAATGGATATTGTAATTTTTCTATAGAATTTGGTTTTAATCTGTGTAACTCTGCTCAGTCATGGAGAGAAAAGGAACGGAGACGTGTACCTAGAGGATGCAATCATATTGGTTGGAATATATCAAAATAGTATTTTTTACAAGCGTATATTTTTTGCTGTCAATCCATAAACTAANGTTGAAAAATAGAACTTATCCAAGCGTTTCCAAGAAAAAAACTGATTTTTTCGAAAACATTCCAAACAACTTCAAAATTTTTTTTAGCTTCTAACTTTTTCATTTCACTTTTCAAACTTCTGTTTCATACTCAAAAAAATTAGCTCCAAACAGACCCAATACCTTATTGTTAAAAAAGTACTTTGAAAGTCGGTATACTAAATTAGACATAATTATAAACAAGTACACATAAAAAAATGTGTTG